CAACAGGCGGAGGAGAAGGTTATCTTTCTTTCCTCCCCCGGACTTTGGCCTTATAGTTTACCGCAAAACGCATCAAGGTTTCTCAGTTGCGTTGATCCTGCGACACTTTCCGAGCTCATGAACGTAAGCAAAATAAAACTGCGTGGTGTGATGCACACTTTATTTTTTCTAGAACCACCTGCTCTTATGTCGCGTTTGGGACAAACACCAATGTCCCTTTCCATCGCACAAAGAGAAAACATAGCGTGTTTACACTTACCTTAACAGCAGATAAAGCTCGTTTTCCCCAGTGAGGCTTGTTGCTCCGGAGGCGTGTGTCTAGTCGGCGGGGGTATCGGAGAGTCAGCGCAGGATGTGAGGAGGAAACGCAACTACAGCCCGCCCCTTCATTCATTTCATGAGATTAAATACAGCAAGCTGTTCATCTTCAAAGGCTGCTCGTGGACTAATAACTGTTAGTAGTGCTTTTAAGTAAGTTGCTTTGTCCCATTCTCTGAAAAAAGAAAATCTATTCTTTTCTCTGCTGGGGTTGAATTTGTAAAATTCATGTGAATGTGAATTTGTTGAATAATAAATTCATATTTTCAAAATGAATTTATTAAAATTGCTTACAATCAGCATAAATAAATATAGATAAATTTTCATTTTGAAAAATTTGAACATGGCTAAAATATGGCTAGCTGTGGAACAAGCAAAATAAATTGTAGTATGAATTATTAGTAATTAATTAAAATAGGGATTACCATATAAAATGGAGAAAATGTATATTATATTTTATATCTTATATTTATTATTATATTTTATTCATATTATATTTTAACCATGTCATATTATATGAGTCAAAATCATATTATAATTCATGGGGAAATGGGCATTCCCTATGCAAACAAACACATTTGTTGCAAACATGTTTCTTATTTTAGTAATCATTTACATATTTTTTTAATGTTGCATATGTGTTATTTTTTTATGTTTATAACATTATTTTCATTATGCTAGTTTTGAGAAAGTACAGATTTGTCATAAAGGTACTTTTAATTATTTAAAGTACCTACATCTGTCAATGTCCCCAAAATGAAAGCAAGGACAAAGCAGGGACAAAGTAAATTATGATTCCCAATGGACTTCAATAATTCACATTCACAGAATCTTTCACATTATGGAAATAATCCTGACAGTTTCTCAATGCACGCAGCTTGACTTTCTGTTGACTCTCCATTTGATCTCAAACACCAGCCTCAGTTGTTCTCTCTGCCCTTTTGTGCACAGAAGTTCCTCTGTGTGCCTTTCTCTTTCAAACCTCAATCCCGGTAACCTAATAAAGTCAAAACCCCATTAGGAGAACATAGGCAGCCATAGGCAGCGGATATAAGCCGCAGTCACCTGTCTGTGACACAGTTTTCCATCTGAAACAGCATTAGAGAGGAAAATGTTATCCATCATGTCTGAATTCATGGAAAGAGTCTACTGAGAGAGCGAAGAAACCACTTAAAGTGCGAAATGTCATTGCTAATCTGTATTCTGGCTCTGTTAGGGCTCCTAATGGAAATGAACACAAACAAAAGCGCATTGAATTTGAGATTAGAGTTCTGCATCTTCTATCTGTTTTTTCCAGATAAAACGTCTGTTGATCGACAATAGACTGCAAAGTTTTCATTCTGGGAATCAAATCTGAGTCAAATCAGCTGGAAATCCAGGTACAAGCGGTGACATGAGGGACAACAAACATACAAACATCGGGAAGATGGCAAGAAAGGATGACATTAACAATGCAGCAGATGACAGAGAACTTTGAAAAGGAGCTCAGCCTATTGAACTGATGTTTATCCTTTTGAATTTGTCTCATTGTGATTCCCGCCTGGTTCTGTCTGGTTTTGTCTGCCGCTCCCCTGTTATTTCATTGTTGTGTCCTCATGTCGTCCTCAGTTCTAAGCTATTAAATGGCACCTTCGTGGTTTGTGTGTATATGTGTGAATGGACACATGAAAACGGCCTTCGGGATAGTGAAAAGGACCAAGAAAAGGACAAAAGAAACCTACTGACTCACAGGCCATAAATGTACACACACACACTTCCTCCATGAAGTCTCAGAAAAGGCTTTCATTTAGCAGACCAACTGCAAGGCCAAGGACGATCCTGCTGTTTCAAGACCACTTCTACACACAGATAAAGACATTCAACCAAAAAGCAAACTGTTTCTGTTTGGTCATTTCTTAAAGGAATAGTTCACCCAAAAATAAACATTTGCTGAAAATGCACACACCCTCAGGCCATCCAAGATGTAGATTATTTCTCCATCAGAACAGATTTGGAGAAATTTAGCATTAGATCACTTGCTCACCAGCGGATCCTATGCAGTGAATGGGTGCCGTCAGAATGAGAGTCCAAACAGTTGATAAACACATCACAATAATCTACAAGTAATCCACACGACTCCAGTCCATCAAATAATGATTTGTGAAGCGAAAAGCTGCAGGTTTGTAAGAAATACCTCCATCATTTAGGCATTTTAACTTCGCTTCTGGCCAAAATAAATACCAGTCAGTAATCCATAATAATGCTTCCACCAGTGAAAAAGTCATCCCCTGTTGTCCTCTCACATCAAAATCCATCAACATATTTGTTTAGAACTGTTTTGGACCATTTTGGCTTGTAAATTATGCTTGATCTGTGCATATTTCTCTCCTGATTCATAAGAGATGACTTTTTCACTAGAGAAAGCAATATTATGCAGAGGACAAATGTCTTAATGATGGACTTGTTTAGTACAAACAAGCAGTTTGTGGATTATTTGCATTAGTTGTGGATTATTGTGGTGTTTCTATCAGTTTATTGGACTCTCATTCTGACGGCACCCATTCACTGCAGAGGATCCATTGGTGAGGAAGTGATGTTCTCCAAATCTGTTCAGATGAAGAAACAAACTCATCTACATCTTGGACGGCCTGAGGTGCATTTTCAACAAATTTTCATTTTTGGGTGAACTATTCCTTTAAGAGCAAGATAACACAACTGAAAGAAAAAAATATGTGCGATTAAAGGATACTTACTTGACGCAAACAGTCTCAATGCCAGAAACGGGTTTCTGGAAATTAAAAAAATAATTAGTGTTTTGCTGTTTGCTGCCCACATTTTCAGTGTTATACATGAGCAGCCCATGTGTTGGAAGTCCTCTCAGCAAGATACAATAGACCGTACCTTTATTTCGGTCTAGTAGATCACACCATGAGCTCCATTACTGTGAGTGTTCTGAAATCAGCACTGATCGAGTTTGTTTTTCTGGCCAGGACTGCCTCCCACATTAGCTCCAGGGATTACACAAGCAGATGAGTGGGTGGCATGTAAAAACATGGAGGGGGCCGCCGTTCGACTCCAAATCTAGAATCCCACACCTCTCTTTGTATACAGACACATGTGAACTCGCTCCACTGTGGGCTTAGATTGGCACAGGCAACAGCTGCTGGTAAAGTTTCTTCTGTGCTAACCATAAATAAATGCAAAGAAAAAAAGATTTAGTAAAATTTTTTTTATATATTTATGGGGGCGGTCTTGTGGGCTGCAGTCTTTTTTTATTTTTATTTTTTTTTTAGCATTTTTCATGGAGCAGATTCAAATAAGAGCATTGAAAATAAAATGTTAAAAATGTTGTTGATCAAGTCTCAAGATTAGCATTCTAAAGTCTTAAAAGTTAATTGCATTTAGTTATGTTTTGTATCTGGAGTCTCTGGGATACCCAACTGCTGTAAGTAATGCAATATACATTTCATAAACATTTTATTCAAGTTTTTAAGTTGAAATTTTGTTGAAAGGAAATTCAGCCAAGGAAATTCTTAAAAATTTTTAAACTATCAACCTGCTATTTCACTACTACGTATTTTTGTGAAATATTTAGCCTAAAAGTTCAGACAGGACGTAAATGGCGTTAGAAACTCCGAGGTCATGGGTTCGATTCCCAGGGAATGAACGGATAAGATGTAGCCTATACTTTGAATGCAGTGCAATCAGTTTGAATAAAATCGTCTGTAAATGAAAAAGTACATGCTTGTCCGAAAAGGTTCAGCCTTGAAATGGACTAAAACGTAATCGGCCTTGTGTCCTTTATTTTGAGAAAGTGGAGGTGCGATACTTGTGTGGGAGGCACTAATTCAGCTACTGATATCGCTCCATTCTGCACTCGCTGCGCTCGAGTTCAGTCAGCACAGTCTTTCAACTCCAACTTTCAGCGTGATCCAGACGCACTTGACTGACCGCAACGCGACGAATTGGCCAACTAGGATCCGACGACATGTTATGAACTGAGAAATAATGGATTAACATGTTAAACTGAAATAAAAGATGCATTCTGATCTGTCAGACTCCGTGTAGCGCGGCGATGCGCAGCGGCAGGTGATGTGGATGCTGACGCGTCGGGGCTCAACTGGTCTCCAAGCGGCGCTTAGAAACTGTGGAAGAACATTTACACGATTGGCTTTCAGTAGGAGTCAGAATCATGGAATTGAGGGACTATCCACTAAGTCATCATGAGAATTTCAATATTAGTTTCTATTTAGGCATTTATTGTTTATTAAAAACAGCTGTGCGAATTAACAAATGGGCCGTTTTAAAGCGCAAACCTAGTATTGCTTATTGAATTACGTTTTAAAACTTTTCTAGTACATTTAGTGACCAACACTTGCCCTTATCGAGTTAATCCGGATCCCGTTGGCTCGTATGGGACTGAGGCACTCATCGCGGTGCCTGCTCCTGCGGAGAAAGATGGCGGAGGCGGAGAGCTCGGAGGTAAGTCAAAGATTCCTTAAGTCATCTATAATACATCAATGCTCGTCCGAACATTCATATATCTACTTCTAAATCGCTTGAGATTCATTCTAGTCGCTTGTATGTGTTTAAGTGCATGATTGCGTAAAATGACGCGCTGGTTTGGAGGTCATACAAATCAGTGCCTGGTGATGTGTAGGACTATGCAGACTAATAACCACCGCGATCCGAGCAGAGCAGAACACGTCCAATTCACGGAATAACGTCCTGAAAGCGATCACACAGACCACACCGAACGCTAAATAGAGAGGTTTATATTAATATTTATGTTGCGAGTCTAGGTTGCGTAAAGATTAGGCAGTCAGACAGATGAAACCTCAAAGGCAACAAATTATCCTATAATTTTGTACCTAAACGATAAAATAAGACGATGAAGTTAGTCGTGTGCTTGCTGAATTGAGCAGTCATTGATCTTTTATGTAGTCTATTGGGTCATCGCGAGACGGCTGAGCGCTGTCCTTGGTGCTGCAGTATTTTGCCCCCCTCCCCAGCTAATTAGCATATTCACCTTTGCATACCTGATTTTAATGTTGACGTTTGTTATTAGGTCACTAAATAACACAAGCCCTGAATAGCAAGGTGAAGAAAAATCACAAGACATAAAAGTGCCCCCCATTCCATCTGCTTTGTTAATTGTTTTCAGTTTTTACAAAATTGTCACATTTTTCTTCTCAATTGCTTTTGACGTTTGTTCTATCTATCTATCTATCTATCTATCTATCCATCTATCTATCTATCTATCTATCATCTATCTATCTATCTATCTATCTATCTATCTTGAAAAAAAAAAACATTTGCAGAAAAAGGTGCCTCGGTGCCTTCTGTCCATCTGCTTCATTAACAGTTTTTCACACATATTTTTTAGAACACTGTCTATTTTTAATTGCTTTTTTGGCATGTTTATTTATTTATTTCATATATAAAAAAATCTATGTACAAATCTGAATCTATCTATCTATCTATCTATCTAAGAAAAAAATCCCTCAGTGCAACAACACCAAGGTCATGTGTTTGATTCCCAAAGAGTGCACAAACTGATTAAAGTCGGAGTAAGAGTTATTTTAGATAAAACTGTCTGGCAAATGCGTCCAGTAAGTGGTGATGTATGACAGTGAGCCTATCATTATACTATTGTCTTGACCAGCAGCGCCAGCAGCATATTTCCAGTGCTCCCTCATCCAAGTCCTTACAACCATCTCCACTACCAAAGCCAGTGACGTCCGTTCATCATGTTCCTCATCCTCCACACACGCCGCACGTCTCCGCGCTTTCTGCCTGTCCGGGCCGAGGCAAGATGGCCAAGCTACTCAACCCGGAAGAGATGACATCACGGGACTACTACTTTGACTCCTATGCCCACTTTGGTATTCATGAGGTAACTGGAGTCCATCAAGCATAGTGAAGTATGCTAGTCTAACCTAAGATGAAAGTGTGTTTTTATATTGTTCATCTCTGTTGCTTTAAGGTAGAAAAATATCAGAAAATTGTTTCTGCTATAGAACTTTTATCACATGCAGCCGATTGTAAGAACTTAAAAAACCACCTTCTAACCTCATTCAAGAAGAACTGAGAGAACACCTTTGATACCGGCATATTTAGAGCATGAGGGTCAAACTGTTGACAGTTCTTGATAACAGGAAAAAGAAGGATGAGAGTAAGATAACAAGATGGAGAAAGGGAGAAAGAAAAGGAGAGATAATTAGAGTGGAAGGAGAGGGGGGGTTGGAAAGATGTGTATCAGTTAATCCCAGCAGGCTAAATGGAGACCTGTCTCTATAAAAAGAATCCTGGAGACACTACGCTTTGTGTCCTATATACTGTCCTCCACAGCCCAGTCCAAAAGAAAAGGTGAGGAAACGAGGAATAAAAGTCATGGACTCAAATTCTCAAACCTGCACCAGTAAAATATGTACAGCCATACTCTACTGATCAAATATTTTGGGGTCAAATTTAAAACTAATTGCATCAGTCTGACTAAAAGTTGTTTTTTTTCCCCTCTCAATAGGAAATGCTAAAGGATGAGGTGAGGACACTGACCTATAGGAACTCCATGTACCACAATAAACACATCTTTAAGGATAAGATAGTTCTAGATGTGGGCAGCGGAACCGGAATCCTCTCCATGTTTGCTGCCAAGGCAGGAGCCAAACATGTATATGGGGTGAGGACTCAAATTACTCATTACAAGTGTGTTTACTGTTGTCACGGTGCGTGCGGGGAGATGAAGCGAGGACTCAATTGCAGGAGAAATGGTTATTTATTTTAATAATAAAAATGAAACAAAAACAAACTCAAACCACCCCGAAGGGGAAAAACAGACAGGCAGGCCTAAAGCTGCACACATGCAGACACGAAACACACAATGAGAAATGACGGATCAGCACAGGATGACAGACACCAGGAGAATAAATAGGAACCAAACGAGGAGGCTAACGAGGGAGACACAGGTGGAGCAACTTAAACTATAACGAGGTAACAAGATGGGAGGGGCAAGACAATAGACAGGAGAGAGTACATGGCAACAGACAAACACAACACAAGCCATGTGCTCACAGAACAGTCATCTGGTGGCCCTCCTGGGCACACCCGCTGAAGACTGTGACAACTGTTATATACAATAGCTTTGAGTTAGAGGGCAACATGCAGGCATTACTGCAGATCTGACTCTTTTTTTACACTCACAAACAGGGTGCGAACTACGGGGGAGCTAGGGGGAGCTCGGCTCATCAAATATTTTGGGGTCAGTAAGGTATAGTTGTAATGTACAAACATTAACGATACGTTCTACAAAATCTAATTTAAAACTAAAGTTGTTTTTTTCCCCTCTCAATAGGAAATGCTAAAGGATGAGGTGAGGACACTGACCTATAGGAACTCCATGTACCACAATAAACACATCTTTAAGGATAAGATAGTTCTAGATGTGGGCAGCGGAACCGGAATCCTCTCCATGTTTGCTGCCAAGGCAGGAGCCAAACATGTATATGGGGTGAGGACTCAAATTACTCATTACAAGTGTGTTTACTGTTGTCACGGTGCGTGCGGGGAGATGAAGCGAGGACTCAATTGCAGGAGAAATGGTTATTTATTTTAATAATAAAAATGAAACAAAAACAAACTCAAACCACCCCGAAGGGGAAAAACTTGTTTCACCTATCAATTCGTGTCGATAAAGTATAATAGGGTAATCCTGTGTAGTGATTTATCCTATATAGCGCTTGCATAAAGCAAGTAGTGCATACACTTGTAGCTGTTATGTATCTTTGTAAGTCATTGTAAGCCCTCATTCACGCACAAGCGCACGTTATAAAAAAAAAAACAAGTGGGCTCCCCCAAAGTCCACGGTATAGTTCGAACACTGCTCACAAATTTTATCTATGTTTATCAGGAGAGACAGAGTGGGAGAGCGTTCTGATAATATCAGTACCCTCACTGTGCTTCTGGTCTGTAGTTAGATAACACTCCACTGATCCACCCACTAGGTCCAGTTTTAGTTTTTTTTTTAATCTTTTCTATGCCACAATATTCAAAAGAGGTCTCTGATTCTGTCCAGAACACAAATACATATAAGCAGAAACGGTTCACAGGTTCATAGATGTTTAAAATGTAAAAATGTATTTAGTTGGCAGATAGTAATAACATTTATCTTTATTTTTTTCATAGATTTTCCGTTAAAGCACACTTGGGCTTAGGGTAAGCAAGAATGAGACTGTTCAAGCAGAAAATAATGGCTTGATTACACCAAAATGCAAATGCAATATGCATAATACCAGCAGGAAACCGGAGTAGATGGCTGTGCTGATATTCAGACCAACAACATTATTTTGGTTTAGAAACAATATTGCCAGTTGTTTTGTCTATTTTTACTCTGCCAACAAAAACAATTCCAAACACAGTCCAAGAAGAATCAGCAAGAAGAATCTCCCAGCCACACACAAAATGATGTTCCTTGAATATATTGGTGGTTTTGAGCGATCCGGTTGAGTGAATGATTCATTGACTCATGCATAAAGACAGCAGTTATTTGATTTGTTCCTGAATGAAACGGTGATTTTAAGCAAATCGGTTGAGTGTAAGATTCAATGACTCAAGCATACAGACAGTAGCCACTTGTTTTGTTCCTGAATGAATCAGTGGTTTTGAACAAATCGGTTGAATGAAAGATTCAATAACTCACGCATAAAGACAGTAGTCACTTGTTTCGTTTCAGAATGAATCAGTGGTTTTGAATGAATCACTTGAGTAAATGATTCAATGACTGACCCTTAAAAACAGTAGTCACTTATTTAATTCCGGAATGAATAAGAGTTTATGAATGAATCGGTTGAATGAATGAATCATTAACTCACTCATAATGACTTTTCGCTACCTACTGGCATAACAATGTAATTTGCAAAAAGAGTCAATGAAACATCATTGCCACTAATTCATAGACTGACAGTCAGCCTGGAGCATGCAAACAAAGTCAAGCAGATTGATACAAACAGTATATTCCACAAAATATTTATAATAATTCTTTATATAAAATCTCAAGTTATGCATGAAAAACTGTCTTGAGTCGGCTAGCAGACCTCTAATATGGTTCATTCGCATACATATCACTTAAGAATAATGTAATCATCTTGATAGTTATGCTATTATAACTAAGCTAATTATCTTTTTTTAATAGATTGAATGTTCCAGTATATCAGAGTATTCAGAGAAAATCATCAAATCAAATCACCTGGACAATGGTAAGATTTACAATCCGCAGCTCATTCCTGTTAGGACAAAGCACAGTGTTTAGGTCTGATCTGTGTTCATGTGTGGAATAGAAGAATCATACATTTTCCTGTTGGCAAGAGTAGTTCCATAACACAGGAAGCAGCATAGTCACTTCCTGTAGCTGACACCCTCCTCTTGTGGTGTGATGGCAGAAGTTATTTAGTTGTCCACAGCAGCTCTCATTAACACTGGAGAGCAGCAGGCGAGTGAGAAGCCTGAGTCAGCGTTAGAGAGTCACTGCTGTACACACACACACACAAACACACACAAGCATGGTAGCTGGACATTGGCAACTTGCCTTTTGCAAAATAGGAAAAATGGTGAGGATGGGTTTGTGGAGTATGCTGCGGGCTCGCCATGTATATGGCGCTGGATGCGCACACACACACACACACACACACACACACACACACACACACACACACACACACACAAACACACTCTAAAAAATGCTGGGTTGTTTCAACACAACTTTGGGTCAAATATGGACTAACCCAGCTGTTGGGTTAAATTTTTTAATAAAAATTTTAACCCAAAAGTTGGGTTAGTCCATATTTGACCCAGTTGTGTTGAAACAACCCAGCATTTTTTAGAGTGCACACACACAGGCATGGCCAATTACGTTGGCAACTTGCCTTTTGCAAAATGGGTAAAATGGTGAGGATGGGAGAAAGGAAAGAAGAGAGAGAGAAAATCATGAAGAAACCCATTAATCAATGTAGCTTTATATTGCCATTCTTTTTTGTGCCTAAATATACTGGGTTCGTAACCCATTTGATTTCTGTGACGCATTTATGAGTGAAACAAAAAATGTGGGATGAGACTTGATTTTATTCATTAGGAACTGATAATAATGTAAAACTCTAGAGTCATTTTATTATTATAAATGTATTTATTTAGAATAAAATCTAAACATATTTAATATTTAATTGTAAATTAAATAGTATAAAATCAGCTCATCCATTTATATTTTAGATAATAATGATAAATTATTATCTAATTTAGATAGCAATTATAATAATTAATAAAATGTGTTATTTTATGACCATGTATTATTTATACTAATATACTATAATTTATACTAATACAAATAATAATAAACTAATTTATGTTCATAAATTTTCTGTGCATTTTGCAGTTATTACCATCATTAAAGGGAAAGTGGAGGAGACTGAACTGCCGGTGGATCAGGTGGACATCATCATTTCAGAGTGGATGGGCTACTGTCTTTTCTACGAGTCTATGCTCAATACTGTCATCTACGCCAGAGACAAATGGCTGGTTAGTTTGTGTGTGTGTGTGTGTGTGTGTGTGTGTGTGTGTTGGCTGTCTCAAGGCCAAGGTTATGTGACTAATTAGAATGTGAAGCATGTGTCCATGCTGAAAATTATCATTTATAATGGGAATGAGTGGCTAGTCATTGGGCTGCTGATGAATGTCTACCACTGAATGACAATTTGGTCCAGAGGACAAGAGGCTTGTTAAACATTTTTATGGAACCATTGTGTTAGTGCCAGGGCATTGTTTCATCCTAGGGTTATTTTTATGGTGCATTGAACAGGAAGGAAAAGAAAGAATGTGAAGTCACTGGAATAATAGGAATATAATCACGCATATGCCAGGAACCAGTTTTTTTTTTGTAGATTAAAATGTTATATGAGGGCAGTTTCACCAATGTCCTGTGATGTGACATGCTATAATTACTCTAAAATCATTTAAAGATTTAATATTAATAATAGATTAATAATAGATCTAATTTAGATAAATTTATATTATATTATATTATATTATATTATATCATATTATATTATATTATATTATTGTGTTTTATGACCTATCATTCATACTACTACTACTTCTAATAATAATAATAATAATAATTGTATTTTGTATTTCTAAATTGTAATTTAAAAATACAAAAATATGTTGGACATACATCAACTATCCATTAATCTTTTTCAGTGGTGATCTGTAGATTCTCTTTCCTGTCGTTTTTCAGAAACCTGGTGGTTTCATGTTTCCAGACAGAGCGACTTTGTATGTGGTTGCCATTGAGGACCGGCAATACAAAGACTTCAAAATCCACTGTGAGTACAAACACTCACAGTGCTTTGGAATTGCAAGGAAGTGACATCATGATATACTTCTGTGTCTGATGTATACAAGTGTGTTTAGTGTTTTGCAAATCACTGTGCGTAATGTTTTGCAAATAGTGTGAAGCTGACAATGTGCTTACAGTTGTGCAAATCTAGCCTTGTGTTTTGCTCCTTGAGTGTAAGGTTTTGCTAATTGTTGGAAAAGTTTAATTTTAGTGTGTAAGCAATCGTAAAAAACTGTAAATTAGCATTTAATACTGAATCTGTTTCTTGTTCTGCAATGTAGCTTGATCAGTGGCTCATTTAGGTACCTTACTTTTATTTAGCTTTAAAAAGAATTGAAAAACACTAGAAAAAAATCCTGTTGGGATCCATTACTCCCCCGCAGCAAGAGGTTTGCTTTTTCTCAATCCCTTTCACTCCCTCCTTCTTGTTTTGGATGGAAGTGTGAGATTCGCCTCGGCCTAACGCTCATGTGAGGGGATGTAATCAAATGCTGCCAGACACAGAGGAGGCAGGAGTCTATTTTAGGGCCAAATGAAGACGACCAGACACAGCCAGAAAGATTTTCTGCTTTTTCAGGCACATATGAGTTTAAAATGTCTTAAAAATATATTTTCTCTATGCTTGCAGGGTGGGAGAATGTCTATGGTTTTGACATGACGTGCATTCAGAACGTTGCTATGATGGAGCCCCTGGTGGACATAGTAGATCCTAAACAAGTCGTGACCAACTCCTGCCTCATTAAGGTACCAGTATGTGCTCTATATGTGTGTATACGGGAGCAAGATCTGAACTGAATCATAGTACTGACTGATAGGCTACTTTGGAACACATGTAGGGCGTTACAAAACAGAATAATTCACAGTAAAGAGTGCCTGATGACAGCGTGGTAACGTGTGTTCAACTCAACTCAACACATGCACAAACACAAATCATTCATTTAAATTAGCTAACAGAAATTACTCTTCATGGGATATAATCAGAGGCGGACAGTAACTAAGTACATTTACTTGAGTATTGTACTTAAGTACACTTTTTGAGTATCTGTACTTTACTTGAGTATTATTTTTTCTGGGTGCAAGTATTACGTACAACAATAAAAAATATGTGCATTGACATAAAAAAGGAAATTTACTTTTGGTACTTAAGTACTTTTAAAAGCAAGTACTTCTGTACTTTTACTTAAGTAAAAATCTGTCTTTACAACTTTTACTTGTAATGTAGTAATATTTGACGAGCAGTATCTGTACTTTCACTCAAGTAATGGAGTTGAGTACTTTGTCCGCCTCTGAATATAATGCTAATAATACCATCATATAGGTAATTTGAAGCCTTACATTTTGTTGTAATAAAGTGCTTTGTCCTATACAGTAGGAAAGAAAAATCACAAACGAGATTTCTTTAATATCTCAATGATTTCTCCTAAACAGGAATGAGATTAAATTTATAATATAATATAATATAATATAATATATAATTTAAATGACAAATATTTAAAATCGTTTAAATAATTTTAAAAGTAAATTAGTTGTTTTAATAATTTTTTTAAATGTTTAAAATAGGTTTAATTTATTGCATGCCACATCACAAGACACTGCTTAAATTTTAGCCTAATTCTGTTAAAAAAAGACCACAGTAATCTCACATCTCAATGTCTCAAATTGTGCTCAATCTTATCTAGAAAGCAAAGTTTAAATATAATCAGATCTTAGTATTAATTCTCAAAGTACCTGAAATAAGCTATCTATATTTCTATATCCGTAACTCTGTAATCTTACTGTATTTCAATAATTGTCTCATTTTGTCTCAGAGAAACATCTAAAATAAAATTTATAAATTTAAGTTTGTCTTATTTGAGAATCCTGAGCTCTAAAAGAGCAAACTATGAGCAATAATATCCTTATTTTGCATGAGCAAGTTTATGATCTGTGACACTGAAGACACTGAATGTAAAATATGTCAAAAGAAAAAGAGACAATGTAGGGGACAGAGAGAAAGCTGGATAGCCACCAGCAAATGAACAAGAAAGAAAGAAAGAACGAAAGAGATAGAAAGAAGAACAGAAGAGAAGGCTATGCTTTCAACGAGGCTCTGGATCAAACTCTTTGAAGAGGAGAATGATTTCGGCCTCTTTGTGAGGTGTACTAAATGAAAAGTTGAATTGAACAAATGAAAGGGTCAATGCTGCTACTGATCTGTTGTTCACACAAAGAGTAATAGGATCTTTGTTCACCAAGGCTGATGCTTGTGCCAACTCCTCTACTTATACAGGCACCAATATGGCCACATCCGAACAATAGTCTTTGAAACCGGATCTGTTGTGATGTGTGGGTTAAGGCTATATGACATAAACCACATTACACTTCAAGCTTACAGTAGATCACAGCTTGAGTATCTCATAGCCTATCATCAAAGGAGTTAGTGCAAGTATGCGGGTCAATCATAATCTCTACATAAACAATCTCTATGCCAAAAAGTGTGAAACGTGACGTATCGCTTTCAGGAGGTGGATATCTACACGGTGAAGCCGGAGGATCTGACATTCACCTCGGCCTTCTGCCTGCAGATCCAGAGGAATGACTATGTTCATGCTCTCGTCACGTACTTCAACATTGAGTTCACCAAGTGTCACAAGAAGACGGGCTTTTCTACAGGTTCAACCGTCACTTATTCTGTACCTTATTATCACTTACAAATAAATCTGGTACTAACCGAGTCGTACATTCCCTTCAAGCCCCCGACGCTCCCAGCACTCACTGGAAGCAGACGGTGTTTTATCTGGAGGATTACTTAACGGTGCGGAGAGGAGAGGAAATCCTGGGCAGCATCACCATGAAGCCCAACGAGAATAACGAGGTGAGGCTGTGAATGGAGCTGGAGAGAAATCTAATCTTTAAAACCGTGGTTCTCAACCTATTTGACCCAAGGCCTCCCATTGTCAAAGACAATATTTGAAGGTCCTCGAAGATATTTCTGGTACTTCTGCTGTAATGACAAAGCCGTTTATTTTTAAGCTTTTTTAATTTACAGAAACTTGACAATGTATTAAAATAATTAAATTATAGAATTTACTGAAGTGAATGTTCTTCAGGGTTTACACTTTTCATTACCAAAGAATTTACAAGACTTTTCTAGTTTGTGATTACAGGTTTTAAAATTACAGTTTTTAAACTTATTATTCACAAATAGCAATTTCTACTTAGAAATTTAAATAACTAGAAAATATATATATATTTATTACTAAATGTACCATAACCTTTTATGATTTGACTAATTTCCATGACTTTTTCAGGTCTAGAAATCACTTTTTAAAAAAAAGGAATTAAAAAAAGAAACACATGTTCATTTTAGCTGCTTATTTTAAACCATTTTAGGCCATCTTGCAAATAGCAATATCTTCCCAATAAAATATTTTAGAACTTGACGTAACTGGAAAAAGTTGATATTTATTACAAATTTTCCCATTACTTTTTTTTTTTTTAAGATTGTATTCATTGACGTCTTTTTCATGTCTAGAAATCCCTCTTTTTAATTTTCTCATACAGTATAACAAATTAAAATATGAAATGCATCTTCATTTAGCCATTATAGCTTATTTTTAGCTTGTTTTAAAATCCTTTTAACTTATTTTCAATCATTTTAAGCAAATAGCAGTTCCTCCTTTAACATAACTAGAAAAAATTATATATATTTCAAAATTTTCCATGACTTCCAAGATTGTATTAATTTCTGAGAAATAGATCTTCATTTTAGCAGTTTTAGCCTATATTTAGCGTTTTAAGCCATCCTGTGGCCCCCTTGGATGTGTGCTGAGGTTCTCTAGTGGGTCCCGGCCCTCTGGTTGAAAACCACTGGTTTAGAAAAAAACAAGAAACAAAATGGCAAAAAAGTACTGAAGTAGCCAAATTTGATTTCTTCCAGCGTGACTTGGACTTCACCTTTGAGCTGGATTTCAAAGGACAGCTCTGCGACGCAGCCATCTCCCACGACTACAAGATGCGGTAAAACTGGAGCGGCATCCTGAGTCAGGCCACCGTTTCCCAGGGAGATTCGGCGGAGAGACGGAATGTGCCTCTCCTCTACCTCTGTCTGGATCAGAGAGGCTGCTGAACTGCAGGACCCCTCGGTGATGTCATCAGTGCGAGTCCAGCAGTAAAAGCAATAGTGTCATCACGTGTCACCTTCTAAAATGCACATAGAGGATAGACTGTGAAAACATCACTTTGAATGTAACTGTTAATGAGTCTGAGAATGTCAAAGTTTGTGTTTATTTAACCTTATAAGATGTTACCGAACGGCAATGCCAATGTGAAATCGTACAATAGTGCCTCATCGAACAAGGCTTCAGTTTGGATGCATACATGAAAAGAGCATGAATGGCATTTTTTCACTTCATATTTGATGTTTTGCTTATATTTAAGTGCTTTTATTGTGTTATATTTATTGGGTTAGTGTTGAGTTGTTTAATATAGTGACCACTGGCGTGTTTTCTGCCTTTGCTTTATTTTAATTTATTCAGGATTCACTCAAGATTTTTCTAAAGAACCTCTAAGAGCAGCTACACTATTTTAAATCATTCTCATCAAATGTACAAACTTTGTTATTTTAGAGTAACATAATGTGACAGTTTTAACTTAAGAATATTTTTGGTTTCGTGTTCTCGTTCAATTGTCAGGTCATTGTCTGTTGGAGCCACCGATGTTTGCTCCTTTGTGTAAAACAAGACGAGCAGAGCAGTTCAGATGAAGACAACAAACGAGGCATGACATGTTCGACACTGAATCCAGCCTCAATAATATATCTGAAGATTTTAGTGCTTCTTGTTGTTGTCGTCAGCTGAACTGTCTCTGCACAGCAACTGAAATGCTTCTTGTTCAAGCAGTGAGGTTTTACTGGCCAGTTTGAAATCCAGGTTTCATGATGCTAGCAAGACTTCAGATGGGTTGAATGAGGCTATTGCAATGCTAAATAAATGGGAAGTAACAAACAGTCAAATTTTTCTTGAATGACTCTGTTCTCACTCACTTGGTTGTGTGGGATAAATTGGCTGAACTGCATTTGTCACACGCAGCTTGACTGAACACATGTTCTCCATAAATGTATTGTGATTGACAATTGGTATCCTTAACAAATAGAATATGTACAAAGATCATTTAAATGAGGTGTGATGAAGTGTCCTGAGACTAATATACTTCATCTACAGTTGGACACACATCAGATGAACACAGATATACAATGCTCTTTGACAAATGGACATGAAAAACCTTTTAACACATTACACTATTCATTTTTGATTCAAGTATAAGTGAATTTGTCCTCTTTCAGCCTACATTAAATTATTTACATTGAATATAAGAGGGTGTGGTGATGATATGTAATGCATAGAGTGATTTCACCCATGTGTTTGTGTGTGTGTGTATGGTCACTAGCAGCAGGTTTTCTTCTTTAATGGTTGATCCACCAGTCTGACCGTGTTCACCCATACTCTGTCTTCCTGCTCCCTCAGGACCCTTAAAGCATTAAATAAAAGAAATAAAACAACAATAATAATATAACAAATAATAAACAAGTTGTATTTACATATCAGTGTTCATTAAAATACTTATAATATAAAATAATATATATATATATATATATATAATTTTTTTCCTAAATATTTTTTTGTGTGTACAAATACTCTCCCATGTAATATATTCAACAGCTGAAATTGTCTGATTATAGTGGAGATACTGAGATATACTTAGCATTGGGCTGGTCATGTGATCTCAACATGGCTGCCACCAGGCACATTTAGTGGGCCTTTCAAAGTAAATAAACTACATAAGGTTCACACAATCTGCAAAGTCGCATTTTTGATCGCACTTTGAAGATACAAAAGAAAACCGCAAGCTTTCTGGTTGACATCTGATCATGTTTGCTGTCAGTTAGCTGTCTCAGTTTTATAACTTTTTTGTGGGTTGCAGCTGTGGCTGAGGTGTTACAAACATCACAGCTAAACAAAATATGTCAATGTTTAACAACATGTTGCATTCGCATGTTTTTTGAGTTCTTACCTGGCCAGATGTATCATGGCCTCCAGCACATTAGCTCCAGTATAAGCACTGCACTCGTAGAACATCAAGTTTACTTCCTATCAAATATAGCAAATACTATTAATCTGTGCTTACTGTGTTGAATAAGGTGATGTTGGGTAAAAACAGAGCATATTAGGTATTATTAATATTTGACTATGATATACTGTGTGATTGACAGCATAAGAGACGTCCACACCTCTGCTAGCATATCGGCCTCCTTTGTCTGCACTTCTCTCTCATTCTCCTTGTCCGATTTGTTGCCAAGGAGCATGACGGGTATAGGGTCGCCTACGGCCTCCTGTATGCTGGTCAGCCAGGGGCGGACTGATCTGAAACTGTCCTCCATTGTGATGTCATAGATGACCACCACGCCATCTGCCTTACGGAAAAACTGCTTGGTAATGCTGCGATACCTGCAGGGCACAGTGACATTGCTTTTTATTAATGCTGGATGTTTATCATCAGTGACAAGTGCCAAGATGATCGACAAAGTAGTCCGTGTGACATCAGTGGTTCAACTGTAAAGTTACGAAACTACGAAAATACTTTTTTCGTAAACAAAGAAAACAAAGCAAAGAAATTTGTTGCCAAGGAGCATGACGGGTATAGGGTCGCCTACGGCCTCCTGTATGCTGGTCAGCCAGGGGCGGACTGATCTGAAACTGTCCTCCATTGTGATGTCATAGATGACCACCACGCCATCTGCCTTACGGAAAAACTGCTTGGTAATGCTGCGATACCTGCAGGGCACAGTGACATTGCTTTTTATTAATGCTGGATGTTTATCATCAGTGACAAGTGAGATTATGTTTTGGTTATGCAATAAATTACTCTAGATGACAAGCTTTTCAGAGATGCTTAAAAGGATAACAGTACAGACTGAGGAATAAAAATAAAGAACACAAACTCAAGCTGAATGTAAATGTCCTAAACAAGACGATAATAATTGTATTAATGCAAAGCTCTATCCTGTTTGTACTATGTAGGTATCAGGGCCTCACCTTTCTTGGCCTGCAGTGTCCCATAACTGAAGAGCCACATGACTGTCCCCCAAATTCAGTGTCTGCACACTATAGTCAATGCCTGCACAGCACAATCGTAAACAAAGAAAACAAAGCAAAGAAAAGCTTCGTAACTTTTCAGTTGAACCACTGATGTCACACGGACTACTTTGTCGATCATCTTGGTACTTTTCTGATCCTTGAATGTGGTAGTTACCTTGCTGTCTATGGGAGGGTCAGAGAGCCCTCAGATTTCATCAAAAATATCTTAAATTGTGTTCCGAAGATTAGCGATGGTCTTACGGGTTTGGAACAACACGAGGGTGAGTAATTAATGACAGAATTTTCATTTTTCGGTGAACTAACCCTTTAAATCAAAACCTGCAGTAAGGTCAAATGGCCACTAGGAGGTACTGTTGTGTAATATTTATGTGTGTAACATACAAGTGAATTGATTGAAAGTAACTAAATGGCTAAAAAGCTCCAGTTTTGTTTGTTTGAAGATGCCTTTTGGTTTGATTGTACCTAATACAATGAAATTCATACTTTTTAATTGTCCAGATTATTTATGAATCCACTACAGTTCAGTGGTGAAAGGCTATAAACTCTGCAGAAAGTGAATTGATGGTGTTTGACATAATCTGCCGTGCAATGTGTGCCAGGGTTTAAATGCAGGGAGTGTGACTTCTCAAGCCCTTTCATGTGATGCTGCCTGCTTTAACAAATCCATCTGATATAGCATAGTAGGCTTTAGCTAACACACGTACACACATTTAAACACAATGCACTAAAAAGCCTTTAAGGAGTAACACTACGCACAATATTGATGCACAGACTTTAGACGTCGAAGGTTGCAAACTTTGGTGAATCAGTGGCCATATAAATCATAACAATTACCAAAAGAGAGAGGAGTAATCCATCTATCTGATCAAATAAAGCAAACTTAGTAAAAGGGCAACCAACTTGAAGGACCAAAATTGTATTTCCTGAAAATCCCTCATTGCAAAGTCATGTGTTAAATCCTGTTTACTCACTAACCTGAGCAATATTAAATTGTGAATTGCACATAGAAGTAGGAGAGCAACTCACCCACAGTGGCTGCGGTAGCAGAATGAAACTGTCCATCACAGAAGCGTCGAAGCAGTGCGGTTTTGCCAACGCTGGAATTTCCCACCAGAATGACCTTAAAGAGGCGCTGAGGGGATGCAGCAGATCCTTCTGCAGGACCCTGCAGCCGAAAATACCCAGAGTGACCTCTTGAAAATAAAGTTTAAAGCTAGCTGCGTTGAAAACTGTGCATAGCAAAGAAAACACTTTTACACTTTAAATGGGACACAGTCTAGTCCAGTGGTGTCCAAACATGTTTTTGAAGGGCCACTGTTAGCTTCAACCCTATTTATACACACATGAACTAGTTAATCAGTGTCTTCAGACTCACTAGAAACTTCTAGGCAAGCGTGTTGGAGCTGGTTGGAGCTAAACTCTGAAGGACTTTGGACCTTCAGGAAAAGGTTTGGTCACCCCAGGTCTAGACCTTTGTAAGGTTTGTCTTAAAGTCCACTTATTATGTTATTTAAAGGTCTGCTGTGCTAAAGCTAACCATTTTATGCCCTCTCTCTGACACATGAATTAAATAACTTTTTTTTGTTACTGTATCTTCAAGATCTCTACATGCAAACATTCTGTTATGATATTCAACATCTTTGCATATGAGGTTACGCTTGCCTGCTGAAGGGTCTCCTTTCCGACAGGCTGACCCCGTGCAGATGAGGGCAAGTTTCCTTTGATCCATTTCTTCTTAGACGGCTTCTTCGCCCTAACTGGTGGTGGAGAGTCAGCAGAGGCAAGGGACGCATTGGATGCGTACAGGGAGCTTGTCTCTAGATTGGCCTGACCTTCTTTTTTCCCCCTTACTTCTTCTTCCTCACTTAGCTGATGTAGAAGAAGGTGAGGGTCTCCTTGCAGCAGGTGAGGGAGGTGGTCCTCCTCGATGGATATGACTCTGCGTAGAGGCCATCCATCCAGTGGCACATCCTCCACATCCACCCAACATTTACACCTTCTGAGTCCCCAGCTACTTTTTCAGAACGCCCATCCACCTCCGGCTTCCCATCATCCCCTGTGGTAAAGGGTGAACAGAGACCGTTTGCTAAAGAGGAGGACTTCCTGTTAGAACGCTGAGTCACTTCCTCTTTATCAACTTCTCTGAAATGACAGAGAGAGAGGTGAGAGAATAAATGTTTCCATGTCATTAAATCATATATGTAGGTATTCTAATAGAATATCCCTGTTGAAAAAAACAGCATATGCTGGTTAGGTATGTTTTGAAGCATGGCTGCTGGTTTGAGCTGGTTTAAGCTGGTTATGTGCTTATGGTGCACATGACCAGCTTAAACCAAGATATACAGATATACACTGAAAGTCAAAAATTTGAACACACCCACTCATTTTCTATTATTAATATTTTCCACAAACAAACAATGTTGAACTCTTAAGCTTAGTAGTCATGGACACGGACAGAGCAGCATTCTATAGAGAATTAAATTAAGCCTCTAAACAGAGATTATTCACAAATAACATTGTGGAAATTAAGAAAGCAGATTATTGGCTCAGTCGCTTTGGATAAAAGAGTCTGCTAAATGACTAAATGTAAATGGGTGATTTTAGATGGTATACTGCTCTCAATTCATTCTCATTTTATGTTGCATAACATATCACCTCCTGAGAGCGCTCTCCATCTCCTTCCTCTCTTGTCGTGCCTCTTTGATTTGATAAGTGACACGGGCCAGAAACTCTTCAAAGTTGGACAAGAGGCGAGGCTCATCTTTCCTGAGCTGAGCCCACAGGCTGCGAACTTCACTCGGGCTGAAATGAAGAGAAAACTTTTAGTACTTGTAGCAATATAAAGCGTAAATGTAAAGCATTTTTTGCAATGCAATGTGCAGAGCAAAGTGTAAAACATCAGTACTGACTCTTCAAACACATTGCTAGCACCCAAGCTCTCCATCAACATGCAGAAATGTCTCTCTTCATCATCCTCATTCTCTGACAGCTGTTCATCCCCTGAACTCTGATCAAGAGCTTCTGGAGCTTTTTGAGAGGGTGCAGTCATTAGTTCCTCCGTCATGGAGATTCTCCGTCCATGAAGAAAGTTACCTGGGGAACAAACATAGAAACACCTTGGAAAAATTTCATTTGCTGTGCTAAAAATATTGTACCAAATAACAAATCATTTTTGAAATGCTCCTCTTTCTGGAAGGAGATGATAAACATACTAAATCCAGAGGAAAACTCTCCCAGCGTCAGGTATCCATTTTTGTCAAGATCTAGTGAGTCAAAGACGCTCTCGAGTTCCTCAGTAGTAAGTGGCAATTCTTCATGTAGCCTCTAAGATAGAGGAGAAATAGATGGGAAAATGACATCAACACAATTTTCTGCTATCTAGATATTCTACCAGCCTATTATGAACATTGTACATAAAAAAAAAAACATTTTAAATAGGAGTGTAAAAATGCAACATATGCACCCTAAATATTTAGAACCAAAAACAAAACTTTGATGGCCATAGATCGGCTAAACAATACTAAAACAACATTTGAATAGACATAGCTGTTTGGATATATAAAGCCATGACAGATGTGAATAAAATAAAATAAAAAAGTGGTGCAAAATGTCCACTTTAAGGACCCCTGCTTTACCCTCATATCCGTGCGTGTGATGAAGCCCTTTCCCTCGCTGTCACAGATCTGGAAAAAGTCCTCTATTTTGTCCAGCATAGCAATGTGTCCCCATCCTGCCTCTTTATTCTCACTTTTCCTTGGCTGCAGCTGCTTGTCATCCTCCTGGTCTGAGCCACTGTTGATGGCACGTGTTGATCTAACGTGTTCAGTCTCTGACATGATTCCAGTACAGTTTACTTTGACCGTCTTCAAGCAGGTCAGGATGAAATGCAGGCGAGAGACATGACAGCACAAACGGGATGGACTTTATAGCTAGATCCAGTATGAGGAATTCTCCTGATTAATTCAGAAGACATAATGCATTGTTGTCTTGTACTGAATCAATGCTGTGGGTCCCAGCTGGAAGTGCATGAAAAAGCACAACACCGTCAGCATGTCAATCCCTTGTGTCTTTAGGAATGTTAAGACTTCTTGAAAAGTGAAATGCAGATTACTGGTGTATATGTGTGTGTGTGTGTGTGTGTGCACCGGAACAGATTTACAAGCCTTGAGCTTAAACTTCAGGCTCACTTCAGCTTTGAGTGAGAACTGTAAAAACTAAACATTTAATGTTTAATTGAACACTTGAGTACTTTAACTCTATGCAGTAAAAGTATAAACATTGCTAAATGCAAATGAGTAAAATTATGTATGGGAATGTAAAGATTAAGAAAAACTCTAATTTTCACATACATATAAATTTAGTTATATTTACTTCAATTTAATTGAGTTTATTTAGAGCATGAAAAGTGATTGAACATTTGTTAGTGCGCATCTACAAAGCCACAGTTGGCGACATCAGTCAGCAGACCTGTCACTTTTTTAGCTTTGATGTCCCACCACCACAATGACAAGGGGGGAAAGGAAGAGGTTTCTGTGGTGAAATTTCCTGTTTGAACAGAAGTCGAACTGGCTAAGGTTTGTAAGAGGGGTTATCAAGTATTTTCGATTTATATTTAAGCATAAACCAGTTAAAATGATTCTGCTGAACTTGGTTGACAGACAGATAAGGTTGACGCACATCTTGCTCCTCTATGTTTAGTAATAAAGGTTGAATGCCAGTGCTCTGTGTAATTTGTGACATTAAACTAAATACATGAAATACTGAATTCATGACGCTTCAAACTAAAATTACATGCAAACGAAGTTCTTATAGTGAGAAATTCGTATAATGAAAATACAGAATTACAGCTCTTACCTGAACAATAAAACAAGTATTTTACTCTTCCAGGTCTGTGGCTACAATAATGTTAGTATTAACTTGTTTAATTAAATCCAATAAATGAGTGAAGTTTGTGGAGAGAGACCGTTAATGCTCGGATCTCAGTGCGCGCGAAAAACTGTGTCCGTCTTCATTTCAGGCTGCAAAAGCAACAAAATGTGATAATTTTAAAGGGTGGTGATTCTTTTCTATACCCACTGTATAGATACAACTATACAGATAGATATAACTATACAACTATAGGCACTATACCCACTGTATATATGCTACAAACAGGCAAGAGATAAAAAAAACCCCTGTAAATTCCCCTCTTATTATATTACATTATATTATGTTATTCACAGTATTGTATTATTTTAAACTAAACACTATTGCAATAATACTAATCTAATGTAAAATAAAATGTATTTAATAATATTTATTATAATGATGATGATAATTCTTCTTATTCATATTCATATTTTTATTATTATTATTATAAATTATATTAATATATTCAAATTGTTTTAAGTCGTGCTGCAGCCCCCTTTGTAAGTTTGTTGTTCTAGGGAAAGATTTTAACACAAAACATTTCAACACAAAAAAAATCATGTTCTTTTTTTTTTTTCATTTAAAAAATCCAAGAAGTTTTACCATTTTTATGAATAGAGAAATTAACAATTTATGTCCAGATAAAATGTTCACCAGTGAGAGGCTCCCTCATGTGGTGACGCAAGACTCTTGTTTGCGCGTTTTTTAAATATGTGCTTTGCTGCCATCTGCTGGATGAATTACACAAAGCAGTATGACGCCCACCCACAAAAGCCTTGATATGATACCAAAAGAATGTCTTTGGAACAGAAAGCAATGTTTATATACAAATTTTGTCTGAATAGCCCTCTATTTGTTGTACACATAAAGTCTAGTTCATTTTATAATATCTCAGCATACTATTTATTGTGTTCTTGGTTAGAACATCATAACACTGTAGTAAAATCCACTTAATATTATGGATACAATGTAGTTCTTTTAATGAAAATAACTATAAAATGTTAAATTGACTATAATTTATATATTTATAGCATCTGTCCATGAAATAATGTTTCAGTAAATGAGCAGTCAGTCATCAGTGCTTGTATCTGCTGTGTTCAGGTTCAGGTTTTGATGCTGAATATAAGCTGCAGTGTTTCTGTATCAGTCTGCTTTAAGTTTAGTGTGACTTTATCTCCACACTGACTTATGACTGACACGAGTCTGTCCTCAGTGAAGTGTCTCTTCACGCTGGAGGAGGAGTCCCGCTCATCAGCGCTCACACTTTATTGATATATATGGAGAAAATAAAAATGCTGCTTTCTGATTTGTCACTGATTGTGTTTGATGATTTCCTCTGTTCTGTCTAATAAGGTAACAGTGAGTGTCATTGGCAGCTGTGAATGTCTCTCTCTCTTTAGGGGGCTGACAGGAGCCAGTTTCTTCAGTGTGTTTGAGGGAGCAGAGGAGAAACTTGTGCTGACAGTCAAACAGACGGTGTGACGAGCAGAAGAACATGGAGGGATGCCTGACACTCGTTTTACTCTCCTCCATATTCACTCTAACCACATCTGGTAAGTACAAAATAGACAGAAAGAGGTGAAATTATACTTGTTTAAATGAGAAGTTTATCTATGTTGGCCTTATATCACTAGAAACTGAATAGATGCCTGTGTAGTATCTACAAACTATATCTCATGACAATAGTTAATTAATTGTCAGTTAAATTTGAGCTTTTACAGGCTAACAATTTAATGACAAGATTATTTGTATATATTCTCTCGTCTATCTTGAAGTACATAGATATTTGTATTTACTAACTTTTTTATATCTTATGTTTCTCAACATTGCAATATTCTTCTTGTAGGTGGTTAAATCCCTTTCTCTCTTTTATGCACAGATTTTGAGACTGTTAGGTTGGTTGGTGGTAACAGCAGTGGTAGAGTGGAGGTTCATCATGATGGTCAGTGGGGAACAGTGTGTGGTGATGACTGGGATATGACTGATGCTAAAGTGGTGTGTAGAGAGCTGGGATGCGGAGAGGCTGTTGAAACTCTGGGTGATGCTCACTTTGGACAAGGATCAGGACCAATCTGGATGGATGATGTGGCTTGTACTGGATCAGAGTCTACACTGAAGAACTGTAGATCAAGAGGATGGGGTGTTAGTAACTGTGGTCATCATGAAGATGCTGGAGTCAAATGCTTAGGTAAGACAGTCTAATTTCTTTAAATGTTTTATTATAAAAAATAATTTAAAGGAACTGATGTTTATCTCAATAATGAATTAATTAGCATCACACATTTTGTTACATTGATATTTACTTATGTAATATAAACACAGGTCGCCACCCCAGACTCGTTAATGGATTCCACCTGTGTTCTGGGAGATTAGAAATTCTTCAGGGGAACACATGGTACACAGTGTGTGCCGCTGCCTTTGACCAGCAGGATGCAGAGGTTGTGTGTAGAGAGATGAAATGTGGGGCTCCTGTACAGGTGCTGGGAGCAGCTGCTTTTGGCAAAGGAGACGCTCAGATGTGGACACATAAAATTCAGTGCAGAGGAAATGAATCTCACATTCGACACTGTTCATTGTCAACTTCACCTCAAATAAGCTGTACCCATGATAATGACATAGGACTGATATGTTCTGGTAAAATGTTTACCCTCTTTTTAAAGAATTCAGTTCCAATTGTTGAATACTAAAACTAATTAGTTTGATCAATACCACACTCTGACATATTTGACCATATTAATCAGAGATTAGAACACAGAATTACTCAGATTATCCCTGTTCTCTTGTTTTTCTGTTTATTATAATTTTTTTGTATTTGATTTCAGTAAGAACTGTGTTGTCTGTCTAGGTTACACTGATCTCAGGCTGGTAAACGGCCCTGACATCTGTTCTGGTCGAGTCGAACATCAGTACTTAAGTAAATGGGGCACAGTGTGTGATGCATGCTGGGATATGAGAGCTGCCAGTGTCCTCTGTAGACAGCTGAATTGTGGGATTGCTGTGTCTGTTGTGGGACCAGATTGGTTTGGAGAGGGAAGTGATCTCCAAAGGGCTGATGTGTTTGATTGCGACGGGAATGAAACAAAACTCTCAGAATGTTCCATCTCTTCATGGAGTCGAGCTGAATGTTCGGATAGACATGTTGGAGTCATCTGCTCTAGTGAGTCCGTATTACTGTAACATTTACTGACATTATGCTACTGGAAGACTTAATCTTATTCAAAATACAATATTTATTCCATATACATTTTAGACTGAAGATTAATGCTTGTGTCATTTAAGTTTCAAATTTACTTATATAAAATGTAATAATGATATAAAGCATATTTATTATATAAATGTTCCTCTGTTGTCTCTCATCTGGGGAACTGCAGCTCTCCACAAACTCTCAACTGCAGCTCCACACAACAGCTGTCAATCACTTGCCTTGGTGAGAAGAACAACATCTGGACAGATTCTTCAGTAGTTCATGGTCAGATAATGCCCAGATTTTTCAGTTTTGGTATTTTAAAATTATATTTTTAATTTTCATCTAGAGTTTAAAGAGATCAGGTTAAGTGAGGGCTGTGAAGGGAATGTGGAGGTTTTCTACAATGGATCCTGGGGTAATGTGTGCTGGAACCAGATGGACGGAGACACAGCGAGTCTGATCTGTCAGGAGCTGAACTGTGGAAGATCTGGGGTTTTGTCTGATTCTACAGCAAGAGTGGAATCAGCTCGTAACTGGCTAGATGAAGTGAAGTGTCGACCACATGATTCATATCTGTGGCAGTGTCCATCTTTACCCTGGGGACAGAATAACTGTAATAATAAGGATGAAGTGGCCAAAATCACCTGCTCAAGTGAGATGATATTTAAATGATGTAAAATGGTTTCAGTAGTCATGTTTCTTTAAACACAATGTTTATATGTTGTGAGTAAACTAATGTTTAAGAAAAGCTAAACTTAGCTGATGGAAAGAGCATAAAATGATTTGTGAGGCTTAAATGATATGTTTTCACACTGATATGTGAAACACACTGTGTTTAATCTCAGAGGAGGAGAATCAGGAGTCTCTTCGAGGTCGTCTGACATGTTTTATCTCACCAACTCCTCACCAGAAACAGTGTTCAGGTAAGTTTTTGACTATATATATATATATATATATATATATATATAATTTTAGTTTACGTAAGCCTTATTTTCTAAATATATTGTTGAAATATGTACAAATATGTACATCTGGTTCAGGGTGTGTTTTGTTGTAAATGTGCTGAAGCTAGTCAGTGCTGGTTGATATGTGTGTTTTAGATCATGTTCCTCTCAGACTGATTGGAGGGGAGGGCCGGTGCTCTGGGAAGCTGGAGGTGTATCATAACGCTGTGTGGGGCTCAGTCTGTGATGATCAGTGGGACATCAGCGATGCTCAGGTGGTCTGCAGGCAGCTGGGTTGTGGAGCAGCACTGAGAGCTGATGGGAATTCATTCTTTAGTGCTGGTGAAGGTGTTGTGTGGATGAACAAAGTTGAATGCAGAGGGAATGAGATTCACCTGTGGGACTGTCTTCTCTCCCTGAATAACCACACTGACTGCTCACTCAAGAAACTTATTAGACTCACCTGTGCAGGTCACAGCAAAATTTTTGGATAATTTTAGTGCTAATAATAGTTGAATGTTTATTCAGTCATTTGCATGATTATTAATGTGTTTGTTTTGACAGACTTGTCAGATTTGTCAGTGTCCACTACTCCTGCCACAGCATCATCAGCTTCTCCTCCAGTTTCTCCTCCAGTGCGCTCAACATCAGTCACTCCCAAACTCCTCTCTCTCTCCGTCCCCCCAGTGCTTGTGATTGTTCTGGGAGTTGTGCTCTTACTGCTCTTAGTGCCACTGCTTATACTGATTCAGCAGAACAGAGTGATGAGGAGAGGTAGGAGAGATCCAGAGACTGTCATATTGTGTCTTATTCAGTGTGTGATCAGTCATGTGTTGTGAACTGACAGCAGGTTTGTCTGTCTGCACTCACAGCTCTCTCTAAGAGGAGACACAGGACGACGACTGAGGCCATTTATGAGGAGATTCAGCACAGACACAATCACTTCACTCAGAGGGGTGAGACATAAGCCATAAATCTAATTTAATACCATTAATAAGAGACTCTGTCAGACAGTTGATGTTCATCTATTATTAGTCCTGTTAAACCTCCTGCTTCAAACCACAGAATTCCTGACAGAAAACCACAGAGCTGCAGGTGCATGTTTATATGTGTGTGTGTGTGTGTGTGTGTGTGTGTGTGTCAGTCAGCATCTCTTCCTGTGTGTACTTTTAGAGGGTCATAAGTTGGGGCTCATATGTTTGTACATGTAGAGTAGGTGCAGGTGTGTGCATGTGTTTGTCTCTTCCTGTGTATATTTCTGGAAGGCAGTAAGGAATGGGTTCATGTGTGTTTGCTAATAGGCCTAAACACCATGGGATTTATGTCTTTAATGCTTTAAACTTTTTTAATTAAATTACTTTATTACTTAATACAATTATTTTATTTTTTAAAGCACTAACACAATGCTTTATAATCGAAAGGAAATGAATATTCAGTCTGTAATGATGAACATGTTTCTGATGGTTCTGCTCTTCTTTAACAGGGAGTCTCATCTCTGAAGAACTGCATTCTGGGTATGAAGATGCTGATGAGCTTCTCTCAGGTTAGAGAGCTTAAGTCACCTGAGAGCTATGATGATGTCATGACGAGCGGACGGAACTCTGATATCAAGAAAGGTGTTTTACTTTCTTATCAACTTTTTAAAATAATATTACTTTAAAATCAAATCATTACAGATAATATTTTAAATTACTCTGTTAATATTTTATTTATTTATTTTATTTTTTGGCTCATTTAATTTGGACTGATATTTGCATGTGTAGTGAACACACCAGAGAATTATGATGATGTCATCATTAATAGACCGAGCTCTGAAGGGGTAACAGGTGAGATGCACCAAACAACGTTTTTTTTTAATCACCTTTTCCATGTTTACATCAGAATAAGATATTCGTTCTGTGTCATCAAGTCACATACAGAAAAAGAGATCCTTCAAATGACATAAAGTGTTTTATAAACTGAAATTACATGTTTTTTTTTTGTCATTCTCGATCAGAGAGAGTTCAGGAGGAGTATGATGATGTGATGAGTGTCAGTGAAGATGTGAGAAACCTATTGGGTAAGTTACTGTAACCCTGTTGTTCTCATTATATTAACATCTTTATTTATATTGTAATATTTGAAATAATTTTCAATTTTTTGACTTTTAAAATATTCTTCTAATTATATTATTTGACGTGGTTTTTGATTTTGTTCTTAATAACAGATTATGATGATGTGGAGGAGGAGTCAAACAAAGAAGGGGGGCATTTGGCTCAATGATCCCACCCCCTGCCTCTGTTCAACAAATCTGCACAAAGTTTGAGTGATATTGTTATTGATATGTCAAATCTCAGGTTTTTATACTTTTTATACTTTTTTTTAATTTGCCTTTGTGAGATTTTGTTGTATTATTTTTTTTTTGGCCTTGTTAATATCAATAAAAACATTTCAGACAAATTTTTGTGTGTATTTAAGTAATACATTATACAACAAAGCACAAGCAACACATTCAAATACATTCTAAATATAAACCCAAATGACCATCAGTGATTTAACATCCCTCAGCATCACTGCAGCAAGTACTGGAGTTTTTTGAGTGATAAATGGGGAAGAAAATATCTAACTTCTACAATAGACACACACACACACACACACACACACAAAAGTCTGTATAAAATATTATCTTATGTGATCAGGGGTGTTTTAAACCAATAAATAAATACACATATTGCTTGTCTAATGGGCATTTTACTTTTATGCATCATTTACCAGGCTATAGAAGTGTTACGTGTACAACCTGCATGTTTAAAATGCATATTTCTTCTCAATAAACCATATGAATCACTTTATAACAGTATATTATTAATTAATAATGCTTCACAACAGAACATTAATCATATATAAACAATATAAAATAAGCGCAGAGCTGCCTGTTGTGTGACGTCATCTATGTACATGTGTTGCAGTCATAAATGAAACCACTGAATGTCCTGCTACTTTTTGGTGCTTTTAAAATCCTAGAAACTTAACGAGAGCTTCTTTGCTGCTGACAAACAATAGTATGTAGTTGCAGGTTTTATTTTGGTTGATTGTAGGTAAGTATCCACCTCACAGACTGACAATTTTGTTATCTCTATGTTAATACAGTCACTGGCAACTTCAGCTGCTTGTTAATGCAAATATCTATACTGCTGTTTACTTGTATATTAACAGTCTGCTCTCCTTTTTTAGCAAAAGAGTTCAAGACTGCATATTATGATGATGTCACCAACAGCAGTGGCCTAAAAGGTCAGTGACCTTTTTAATTGATCACATGATTCATTACCAGATGTTTAATAAATTCTCAGTCTCATGATCTGCAACAAGAACATATTTGGCTTTTGTATCCAAACATATTGTGTGTTGATGCAGAAGAGATGGTGAAGGAAATCACACCGGGATACTATGATGATGTCATCACTGATGGACTGAAACCAGATCGTGAGACAGGTGTCACCCTGATATTCTACAGCAGCATTTAAATTTAAATATTACAGTATATTTAAGATAGATATTTCTAATTTGTTCTGAATGTAATGAATGTGTGTCTGTGATGAATGTGTGAATCTGTAGAAGACACACCTGAGAGCTATGATGATGTCATGACGAGCGAACGGAACTCTGATATCAAGAAAGGTGTTTTACTTTCTTATCAACTTTTTAAAATAATATTACTTTAAAATCAAATCATTACAGATAATATTTTAAATTACTCTGTTTTTATTTATTTTATTTATTTTATTTTTTGGCTCATTTAATTTGGACTGATATTTGCATGTGTAGTGAACACATATGATGATGAGACTGAACTCTCAAGGTGTAACAGGTGAGATGCACAGAACTACATGTTTATCACCCTTTGCATGTTTAGATGAGTATTAGACATTTGTTCAAGTCACTTAAAGGAAAAGGGATGCCTCAAATGATATGACTTGTTTTTTGTCATTCTCGATCAGAGAGAGTTCAGGAGGAGTATGATGATGTGATGAGTGTCAGTGAAGATGTGAGAAACCTGTTGGGTAAGTTACTGTAACCCTTTTGTTCTCATTATATTAACATCTTTATTTATATTGTAATATTTGAAATAATTTTCAATTTTTTGACTTTTAAAATATTCTTCTAATTATATTATTTGACGTGGTTTTTGATTTTGTTCTTAATAACAGATTATGATGATGTGGAGGAGGAGTCAAACAAAGAAGATTTGGCCCAATGATCATCCATTGCCTCGGTTCAACAAATTTGAACAAAGTTTGAGTGATATTGTTATTGATATGTCAAATCTTGGGGTTTTATGTTTCACCAAGTGTTCTTTGTTTTTTATTAAAACTTCTATGCCTTTGTCAGATTTTGTTGTGTTGTTTTTTGGCCTTGTTAATAGCAATAAAAAACTTTTCAGACAATTTTTTTTGTGTGTATTTCAATAAGACATTACACAGCCCCTGAATCCAAATGTCTGATCTTACCTTTTAATGCACAACTGCTGCGGTGACAATCAAAGTCATCCTAAATATAAGCCATAAATGACCATCAGTGTTTTCACAGCCTTCAGCATCATCATAGCAAGTACTGGAGTTTTGTGAGTGGATAATGCTGAAAAAAATGCATTTACTTTGGATGAATTAAAGTAACTTTCATAATA